GACGTTTCCTACTTCTTCCTCTTTTGGGCTCATTAGGTTTTCCACTATCTTCAGGCATTTCAATGATTAGCTTCGGGAACGTGGTCACTTGTTACTCTGCCATTTCGAGGAGCAACGAAAAACATGTCCGACCACTAGCATGTTTGAGGTAGAAGAACATTATCTCACTTACTGTAAATCCTCGAATTAGCGCCCCCCTTGAATAAGCGCCCCTCCTATCAGCTGAAATTTAAAATGAGCGCCCCCCTCGAATAAGCACCCGTCTTCCCTTCCCATTTTGTGGACAAGTAATAAGACCACAAAGGATGTATAGTTTTCGTCATGTAGTCTTAGATTTGTACATTGTTTCAGTTTGTGAACACGTTTAGTGAACACGTTGAATAAGTTAAGTACTAACGGTGCCGCGATTTGGGAAAAATTAAATGAGCGCCCCTCCTCGAATAAGCGCCCCCCTCAAATAAACGCCCCCCCATCTTCTCCTAAATTTGAAATAAGCACCCCGGTCGCTTATTCGAAGATTTACGGTAGGTGTATAAATAAAGGATTCTGGTCTCACTTAGGGTGTTGATGACAAAATGCCACAGTTTTTAGCTGTCAAAGTATCCTTTAGGGTGAACTTGAAAAACAAATATGAAAAACGCCCTTTTTTTGTCTTTAGGCTTGATTTCTGCCGGTCCCTAGAGTCTAGACCAATAGAGCAGGCTCCTTTCTTGAACAGCGACTTTCAATAGAGCCTAGTGCATTTTAAGTAGTATCTTGTAGGGATTAAACAAAGCTAGAGCCAGGCCCACATTGGTCTCCTTTGGGGGTTAATTCACATTTTTCAACCACCATCCCTAACCTTTTCATATGTCAAAAAAATATTATTGGGTTATTTTACATGGAGAAAACGAAAAACTCTAACTTTTTTGTTTTAAATCTGACATGTATTCACTTCCTAGGAGAAACGAGGAAAAGACAACCAAACTACAAGGTATCATGCAATGAAAGACTATTGGTGTTATTTTGTTTGCTTTCATGTGGTTGTGAATTAGTCTTGCCTTGAAAGAAACTTATTCTAATAATTATTATAAGTTTTAAAGTTAATCAAAGTAATTATATTATTTTATTTCAATAATTTGATTAAATTTTAATTCAGGTATTAAAATGCCCTTAACCATGGTTTTCTTATCTTCTTGAGTTTTCTCATCACTTTCTGAGTGTCAAAAAAGTATGTCATTAATATTAATAATGTTTATCATTTATTATGAAGTCATACTTTGCTAATGATTTAGTTAAGAATCCTGTGTATGGAAGCTCTGACATTCCACTGAGTTCAGCAACAGAAAGCCATGTCAGAACTTTGATGGATCAAGATAGTCAACCAACATACCAGGACCTTATAACTGACAATGGTAAGATATAATGACTTGTGACTGACTTTTAATTAGTTATTTCTCAGTAACAGCTAGAAATGGAACCCCATGATTTGGGCTGAGTTGATCACAATAAAAAATTGATACTCTGCATACCAGAAAAGAGGCTTAAAAAAATTACCATTCATTTACAATAAACAGTTGCAAGAAAAAAAAATTTAAGAGCTTAAAAAGGTTCCTTCCAGTCTTCCAGGACAAGTAGATGAATTCTCCTTCTGGGCGAGAAACTTTCCATTTTTACTTGCCTGATGGGCAAGGATCAGTCGTCACCCTCAACTAAATCATTAAAAGAGCAACCTACAGTAAGACTTGCCCAGGGCAAGCAAAATGCGAGAGCTACTTGTCCCAAGGGCAAGGCTCAGGAAATTATTATTATTTTTTTTTTTTTGCAAGACTTGTTTAACATATAATTATGTGACTTAACTACCAGTAGCCTCACATACACATGCATGGACTATTTTCACAACAAGCTGTCTTCACATTTTAAAACACATGGTACTGATCAGTTTTGGTTGTTTTTCTTGTTTTCCCACTAGGAAAAATGAGTGGGGCAGCAATATACAGCAATCCTGATGATGATGATTATGATAACTACAATGCTTACCAAAGTCTGGACAAAAAAGTACCAGGGAGTCCTGTTTACCAGAGTTTGACAAAAGAACAGCTTGACAAAGGAAAACCAACTCCAAAATCAAAGCCTAGTGTAACAGTACCACCAAGAGAAAGACCTAAAGTCACAGCAGAACCAGTGTATAATGTTACTGAACAACCTGACACAGAGCAAGGTACCATGCCAGAGAAAGTGAATGGAGGTCTAGAACAAGATGGTGATGAACACACACAAGAGCCAGTTTATAATGTGCTTGATGCGTCTGATACAGAAGAAAATTATGAAGCTCCAAATGTTGGTGATTCTCTGTACAATGTGCTTGAAGAGCCTGAATCCATGCAGGATCAACAGCAACCTCTGTATAATGTGCTAGAGAGCTCTGATGCTGAAAAAAGCAGTCACCAANGGGGGGGGGGTCAGTAAGACATCAATGAATAGACCAAACATGTGCAGGAAATTGCTGTATCTTATGACCAAAACGTTCCAGGGACTGCCACACTGGAACATGCTAGTACAATGACGAAGTGCACTGAGCCTGCAATACCTGTGGGAGAGGCTTCCTTGCCCTGATTGGTCTCACCAGCCACCTCCGGACACAACATAGAAATTTATTAACAAACTAGATGTCTTTGGTCATCTTCGACTATGAAGGACGAACGATAACAACACCATTTGAATACCGCTGACCAGAAGTACCAGCTACTCATTGTTGTTAACTTTGTTAAATTGCATTTAACAGCATTAAGCGACCACCCAAGATGTCAAGCCTAGGTGGTCACTTACGAGAGGTGGTAACTTATGAGAGCTTAGACCATATTGGATCAAAATTTTGCCTCATTAGCATATGGCAACGAGAGAGACTTACCCATGTTTTAAATGTTTATTCACATGAATAGTCAATTTTGAGAAAAATCGGGAACTTCACTACTGACAATTTTTACCTCTTCTACTACCCAGGAATGCAATAATGTTACAACACCTTATTACCCAATTTCCACTCTATTATCTGTCAAGTGGTCTCTTATAGAAGGCTAAAAACAAGAGAAAACTTCAAACTTTTAGTTCTAAAAGTGGCTGTAGTCGCTTACGAGATGTGATCACTCACAAGAGGTTCCATATATGGTGATTTGACTTAGAAACTTTTGGTATTTTGGAAAACTGGTCACTTAGGAGAGGTGGTCGCAACCAGTGGTTCAACTGTATTATTGAATAAATGGTTAGTTAGTGGCTGCTTTTTGGGATGGTTTCCACTTCCCACTTTCTAAACATCCCTTCTAAAATACAAAAAAAAAAATTATTATTATGTGTTAATCTGATAACCCCTCACTTTTTTTTTTGTTCTTATCCCGCTGTTCTATTTTATTATTTTTTTAAATCTAATTTTCTAGTGTATTTGTAATCTATTTACATGTATTAATAAAAACGTTTTGGATAGCTTAGTGAACAGAACTTTGATCCAACTATTTGCTAATAGCTTTTTGTACTTTCTGTACTCAAATAAATTTTGAGTGCAGGCATGTAGTATTTTGCTGTTACAGAAAATATCCATACTCCCCCCACAATTTAAATTATTTATTATATGGCTTGTGTTTGTGGCCAATATGTGCTCTGATTGGCTAATACTAGGGCGTTATTCTCCAGTAATGCCTGATTACGGACCCGCAAAACCAAAGCAAAAAGCCATATGATAAACAACTTAATATTAACCTCGAACATTTAGTCTTCTGGGAAAAAACTCAAACCTTGGCTTTGCCGTATAGGGGTATTGACCTCGCTTACTGCAAGGTCTCAGTTTATGATTTTCCCGTAAAGACCTTCCTCTTGGTAAATAAGAAGTTTTAATGTTCTAGTAGTCAGGTAATCTTTCTGTTTGTGTCAGTCATCCTTAGCTGCTGAAACATCTTCTAGATCTGCTGTTATTGATGGACCAGGTAACAAAAAAGGAAGAACAAGTGGAAATGATAATGGAACTGTAATTGGTGCAGCAGTGGGTGGTGCTGCTGTTTTTGGAGTTTTCATCATCGTGATTATTGTATTTTGCAAACGAAGAAAGTTGGGGTAAGACAAACCATTGTTTCACCAAGTCAACTTATGTCTTGTACATGTATGTCATGTCTCATAACAGCAAGCCTTACATATCAAAACCACTAAATTAAATTCTAGTAGTCAACCTTTTGTTTCCATATCATTGTACAAGCTACTTACTTAATATTTTACATTGTTGTCTAATCACTCTGCAGTGAAACAAAAACAAAATGATTTCTAAGTACAAGTAAGAAAACACCAGTCGTATAGGAGGGGGCATTTCGTTTATTGATCAGACATAAACAGCCCTAGCATAGTTTATTACAGCAAATGAAAACAAATCTAGGGTAGTTACTAAAACATGCACAACAGATGTACTAAAAAAAAAACACAGAAATTTTACTAATTAAAAACAAAATTTCCAGAATGAAGTGATCAAAAGCGGAGATGCCGTCAAGTGACAACTCCTGATGGACAAACTCCTTAAATATTCACTTCTTAGCATAGTAGGCCATATTGATATATCGATATTCTAACATGGCTCCAAGGCTTACAGGACAAACTTCTATATTTGGTGTTATTTTCTTTGTATCCAAGTCTCTTTTGGGAATTGAGAGACAAAAGAAACTTAAAAAAATTACAATTTGGACCCGAAAGCCTGCGAGCCATGTTAGAATATTGATATATGGAACATGGCCTATTACGTAGCCTGCATACCAACAAATCTACTTACTGGCACACAACTATCTTACAATTATAACAACATGAAAAATTATATTTTATTTGTGTGATAATATGCACTCACAAAAGGGCTTATGAAATTTTGGAGAGAACTTTCATTGAAATATCACTGGCAGTGTAAATCCTTTATTGCACTTGCATTCCTATGATTACCTATGTTTAGTCTAATAATAAAATAATTGAATTATGAACTTTGTTCAGCCTGTAATGGGTCTGTTTTGGGGAAGTATCAGTCTTCTTCTTGAGCTTGACCAACACTTCCCAGATTTGGACCTCCCACTAGGTCAATAAGTTAACATAATTTATACATTCATAAAAATAAATATAAACAAAGAAAAATAGAAGAGTTTTCACACAATCATAGCACGGCTCGATACAAATACATGTAGAGCGAAATACAAATTGAGATAGAAACTACAGTCACTCGAGTTTCATGCTTAAAGTGATCATCAGACTGTGCTGTTAGTGGCAGCTGAAACAAAATTTAAACTAATTCATGTAGGGCATGTGGAGCGATCCTGCTTCTGATTGGCTGCATAGAACTTATTCTCATGCCTGCATTTTGTTGCAAGTTCATATCTTTTGTTTAGAAGCGTGGATTTGTCTGCGGATAGAATGCTGAGTTTTTTTGTCAGACACAAATTGCAGTGTGATTGGGTTCCATTGTACAGACTTGCTTGCATGACAATAAACCACTTGATCGAGAAATCAGTGTCATTGTCTTTCAGGTCCCAGATATACAGTATTTAGAAAGGACAGTGTCATGTGAAAGCTTGTGATTATTGTTTCTAGTTTTGAAGCTATGTGCGCTCATGCCAATATAAAACCTTGTTCTAGCGGATGCAGATGTGACATTGGCCTTATATATATGATGTTGTTGACAAGGCATGCACCATCAAGAGGGCAGAGATCTTTCTTTCTGCAGTTGCATATTTTTGTTGGCTCGATATGAACCTGTAACAAAATGCAGGCACGAGAATAAGTTGTATGCAGCCAATCAGAAGCAGGATCACTCCATGTGCCTGCCATGAATTAGTTTAAATTTTGTTTCAAATGCCACCAACGGCACAGTCTGATGATCGCTTTAAGTGTAAAACTCGAGTAACTGTAGTTTTTATCTCAATTTGTTAAAATAAATATATATATATACATACGTAATATATATCTTATAGCCCGTTATTGAATAATTAAATTGTAGAGTTTGTTTAAAAAAACCATTAATAATACTCAAATGGGAGTATGGGTGATCAAGTCCAGGGCTTTGTTAGCTTTTTTTTTGGATGTGCTAGATTTTGTCACCTTTAAGTGCCTATTCTATACAATGTTATTTCAGGCTGATAGATAAAACCAGTATAAGTGGGCTGATTTGATTGCCGGTTCTTGACTCTCCTGCTTTAGGGATTTTTCTACCTAATGTTCAATTTGCGTTAAAAAAGGGAAGGAGATGTCATGTATACATCCTCATTAATCACCTTGTCTAGATAACAGCAGACATGTAAAGATGGGTAATATAAGCATGAGGTTGTGACAACATGGTGTGTGTCTGTTGTGTACATAACAAGGGTTGTCAGTCAAATCAAGTCTGTTTTAAGCACTCTCTCATTGATTCTTGTTAAACAAAATTATATTTTATTGACTTGATTAAAACTGCTAACGTTTCTTAACAAAATATGAAATTCAATTCCCAGGAAAGGCAAGGACAAGGCAACAAAACTAGAAGGTACATTTTAGTACTATATTTAATTTAATTTATAAGAATACTTTTAAAATTATTTAGTTTTGTTTGCTTTCCCAATTGTTCATGTTAACTAAATAAATCGTACCGTTTTTAATTAATCCTGCCTTGAAAGAAACTAAAAACAAGAAGCCTAAAGGCTTTCATGCAGGATGCTTTGGTTAATGTGCTCATGCCATCAACTTTGAATGGCTATCCATGTAGAAATAAATCCAGACGGAAATGCTAACACTCAGTTTTCCAGTTGTGTTTTCTTTAACAAAACGATAACGGATATAGAATGTGGTTTGTGTTCAAATTTGTATCCATTTGATAGCAAAATTATAAACATTGTCAACATTGTTATTGTTGTGAGGCAATGGGAGCTTTTGACGCAAATTTATGGTCAAAGTAATATGTTCCTTCGGCCAGACACAATAATTTCAACTTCGCATACTTTACAAAGACCTTGTGGTCCTGCGGGATATGGGCTAATTTGCATATGTGACTACGAAGAAGGAAAAAGGAAAATTGTTTTATTTTTCATCATTTTTCATATGTTGCCTTATAGATTGTTCATTTGAGCAGGCCCTATAGCACATTTTGGACACCCACTTTTCAAATCCTGGCTAAAAGCCTGCAGTGCACCACTAAAAAAGCTATTTTATAGAAAGATAATATTATTTATTTATTTACTTAATTAAATAAATATGAAATGATACTTTGTTAATGATTTAGTTAAGAACCCTGTGTATGGGAGTTCAGACATCCCACTGAGTTTAACAACAGAAAACCCAGTCACAACTTCCATGGGTCAAGATAGTCAACCAACATACCAGGACCTGATAACTGATAACGGTAAGATATATTGTAGTGACTTGTGACTGACATAATTAGTTATTTCCCAGTAACAGCCAGGAATGGATCCCCCATGATTTGGGATGAGTTTAAATCACAATAAAAAATTGATACATGTACTCTGCAGAGTGGAAAAACGGTTCTAAAAATCACCATTAATTGAGTGTCAATAAAAGCAGTAACTGTTGTAAGAAAAAACTGAAAATACAACTTATAATATAACTTGTAAGTTATGATTTTAATTTTATGATGTGATACATATTCAGTAAAAATTATGACTTAACTAGCAATACATGCAGGCTTACATACACTATTCTCATAACCAGCTGAGTTCAATATTTAAAACATGCCTGGGACGGATACAGGATTTTAGAGAAGGGACTTTGAGATATGGACCACTGAAGGTGGTCTCTTGTAGGGGGTCCAGGGGCATCTTCCCCTGGAAAATTTTTAAATTGAGGTCCTTGGAAATGGGATTTCTGACATTCTGAGGCCAAGTCAGCATGTGATAATGTCTCATTTTATTTAATTTAGTGGATTCCATGGACACCCCCCGTGCCAACCCCCCTTAGATCTGCTTGCTACTGATCACTTTTGGTTGTTGTTCTTATTTGAAATCTCACTAGGAAAAATGGGTGGAGTAGAGATATACAGCAATCCTGACGATGATGATTATGATAACTACAGTGCTTACCAAAGTCTGGACAAAAAAGTACCAGGGAGTCCTGTTTACCAGAGTTTGACAAAAGGACAACTTAACACAAGAAAACCAACTCCAAAATCAAAGCCTAGTGTAACCGGACCACCAAGAGAAAGACCTAAAGTTACAGCAGAACCTGTGTATAATGTTACTGAACAACCTAACACAGAGCAAGGTACCATGCCAGAGAAAGTGAATGGAGGTCTAGAACAAGATGGTGATGAACACACACAAGAGCCAGTTTATAATGTGCTTGATGCGTCTGATACAGAAGAAAATTATGAAGCTCCAAATGTTGGTGATTCTCTGTACAATGTGCTTGAAGAGCCTGAATCCATGCAGGATCAACAGCAACCTCTGTATAATGTGCTAGAGAGCTCTGATGCTGAAAAAAGCAGTCACCAAGGAGCACAGGGTTCATGTGGTTTAAGTGATGAGCCTGTGTATAATGTTGTTGAGGGGCCAGATTCAGATGGACCAAATAAGAATAGTGGTGGCTACGATGCTCCAATTGGGTCCTTCTCTCCAGGTGGCCATGGCAACCCAGCCTATGAACAAAGCCTTGATTTTGGACCAAATAAGAATGGTGTTAGATGTGGTGCTCCAAATGGGTCCTCCCCTCCAGATGCCCATGACAATCCAGCCTATGAACAGAGCCTTGATTTTGATGTACCATATGCCTCGGTACAAAGGCCTGGGCCACAAAGAGAGTCTGTCTATGAACCCCTGAGGGGACCTAATGATCAGGATCTTTATGAGCCCCTAAAGTAAAGGAGAAGGTAAAATGCCAAGAAGCTGTAACGAACTGCATTATTTTGTTGTAGTTCTCAAACTGCTGTAAAAGTAATAATTTCAATATGGTACTACATTAATTGACAAGGCAAATAATTGTTAAATTGGTTGCAACAATCTGCACAGTGGCACCACAGTTTTTTTAATACTGCTGCAACAAACAAATTTGTGACAGGTTTTTTTTTTTTTAAAAAAACTTAACATTGGCCAATTTATATCAAGCATTTCTTTTGGCTGGTGACAAGTACACATAATCTGGTATAATACTGATTTAGATGANTTCTTTTCCTGTAAAAGAATTTGCGTAACGATCCAAATAAACAGCAGCAAAGGAGAGAGAAGAGACTGAACAACAGGATAAAAGGCATGGGATGGAAAGAAATATTTCTTGGACATGAAATTGGCGATAGCTCCACTTTTTTAGCTCTGGTATTTTAGGGAGTCAGCTGCGGTCTACCCCGATGTCCCTAAGGAGAGGCGTTTTGTTTCCCTCGAAACATGACCCCGAGGGAACGAGGCTGAGTCGCGGTCGTTTGATAACAACTTTGCTTATATATGAGATTAAAAAAGGTGAAAACATTTTGTGTAGGGGGTCGGATGGGGGTGTGAGTATTTTGGGGTTGTTAATTTACGACATTATTCAGCTCCTCTGACCTTGATGCCCCTCCCCGGGCAATGGAACTTTCTTGGAGGAACATTCATGAACCTCGATTTATTTAGAATCCCTAATTTCTTATCTTACGCTACTTATCATCACTATTATTATCGTTATTTTCAAACAACTAGGCCTTGCTGATTTGAAGGGTGTCGATGACTCAGTCATCCTCGCCACCTGAGAAAAGAAAAAAAATTCATGTATGGCTGGTGGTGGGAAAGCCTTAGGGGTTAGAGGCGCATACATCAGGGGGAGGGTGGAGATCTAATCTTTACCTCGTCAACTCTAGCTCCGAGGACCGGAGCAAGACCTGCTCGGTATAGGGAATATATATTNCTGCATAATCCAACAAAATAATAATTTCAGCCCGATGCGTAATTAAATGTGTGGTCAATTGTTCCAGAAGTATCAAGGCTTTGATTATCTAAAACAATTAATTTTTGAATGCGTTTAGCTCTTTGGAAGGTCCTTTAGATGTTATTTTCAAGGTGCAGTTGACTTCCAAAAACTCCAAACTTTGTAGGTGGCAAAAGTACTACTGAGCCCATACAAAGTAAAATTTTGCGTTTTTAAACCCAGGCTGCAATAAAGTTTTTTAGAACGTTATCGGGGCTCAAATTTATCGGGCTAGTTCAATTGTACCAATTCCTTTCAATATTCAGAGTTGAACTCTTTGTATCTTATCAGAGGCGAAGTGCTTACGGTTTTCTTACAATGGTTGCTTGTTACTCACCTTCCTGCATTTCTGCAGTCCAGAGCGTCAAATTATCTCTAAGAAGCTGCATTATCAACGTGCTCTCCTTATACTGGCTCTCGTTCCCACTAGGATCCAGCTCATTTACGGCATCGTCAAAGGCTGCCTTCGCCAATTTACAGGCCTTATCTGGGGAATCGAGGATCTCGTAGTAGAACACAGAGAAGTTAAGCGCCAGGCCCAGTCGTATCGGATGCGTTGATTGTAACTTTGAGGCGGCCTCCTCAGCCGCCTGGTAGGCTTGTAGTGCGTTATCTGCAGGCTCTTTGCGGCGGTCTCCTTGCAGTATCTCGGTTAAGTAGCGGTAGTAGTCGCCCTTCCTGAGAAACAAGAAAGATGAAGGGTAAGGTGTAAACATGACTGTAACAGCTCGGAAGACGGAGGTAATCCTTGTTTTCGGAGTATAAAGCGATCCGGAGTATCGTTGCTCTGCCCTCACCCCCTCCACTGCATCCCCTCCCCCGCCACATCCTGGTGGTATGGGACTGTAAGTCATTCATGCCCCTCCTCCTTACGTTTGATAGGTTTTGGGAAATTCAGGGAGAGTAGCCTATGGAGAGTGGTTCGTAGCATTACGTTCAATTAATAGACGTGGCGAACCAAGGAAAATCATGCGAAGAAGCGATAATAGAGAGAGGCACTGTGAGATGGAATAGCTTTGTGTAAGGTTATAACACTAGCTATAAATGTTATAGAGGAAATTAGGGGAACGGGAACCCGACATTAATGGGGGGCGGGGAATTAGGAAAGGGGGAAGAACCGAGAGTAAAAGGTAGCGTGAAGTGGATAGTTCAGACAACATGGTATATACTGGTGCGAGACTAAGGTAAATATGAAGTCCGATAAAACTTACATTTTGTGGAAAAACACTTTGGATTCGTCCGTCTCGGCGTGTTTGATCAAATGGTCATCTAAAAGTTGCAAGATCCCATTGGATATCTCTTCTATTTCCTTCTCTATCTTGTCTCTGTAGTCGCTCACTAGTTTCTTGTTTTTGGCGTTATCGTCATGTTTCTGTTCCAAACCAGAGAATATTCTCCACGCGGCCCTTCTGGCCCCGATGACGTTCTTGTAGGCTACGGAAAGCATATTGCGCTCCTCCGTCTCCAGAACACCAGTCATTACAACTATTCTCTTCATAGCGTCCATCATATCTAGAAAGAATAAAGCGACAATGAATTGATCGCGAAAAGTGGAGAGGGCTGAGTAGAAATCCCCCAGGGGGAGTACTCCACAATGTTTTATACGGGGAGGCTCCGCCCCGAGGTCTAACCCCTTATCCTTTTGTATACCATTTAGACAGGAAAGGTACCCGACCGTACCCCTGTCGTATACCCTTCATTGAAAAAGGTACCCCTTTTGCATTCCTACTTAACGACACTGCATCCCTTTTCTAAACCCTTG